TGGACTGGCTGCTCTATTTGGGGTCATCGTCCTCAAGGCCTGGTGAGCCAGGATATGCTCGTCTCTCCTCCTCCCCTGTCATCTGTGATGGTGCCCGGATATCAGAAGATATGGCATCTGGGGTTTTAAAGACTTGAAGGTAAACAAGCGGCCAACTAGCTGAGAAGCAACAAAGCCCACATGGAAGATGCACACCAGCCTGTGTGATCACGAAGTATCAGGATTCACCTAATATGCTAGCTCCTTTATGGGGGTTATTGGAGGGACTGTGTCCACTCATGAGAATGTACATTAGATTTATTTATTTCTCATGACCGTAACGGTCTTCCCCCACCAGAGCCTGCTTTCCAGACCCGTCAGGATGAGAGTAGAGGATGTAGCTGTATGACAGTCTCACCAGTCCCTCGGTTTCCCACCGTCTCACAGGAAGGCTTGTGCATCGGACTCAGCACAGGGTGGTCCTGGTGGACTGGTGGTTGTTGCAGGCGTGGCATGGAAAGCAGGGCAGGTCGAGAGGGTGGGGAAAGCCCCGTCCAGCTGAGGCCGGCCCACGGTCCTCGGACTGGCCAGGATGGCAGCTAGGGTGATAGACTGCAGGGTGAGGGCTGTGTGTTCTCTGGTGGGGACTGATGATTCTCTGTGCCTCTGGGAGACAGAGTCCCCATAGAACAAGTAGTGGGGTTAATCATTGGGAACATTTTCTTATATGTTTATTGGCCATTCAGATTTCTCCCCTTGTGAGCTTCTGTTTAGGTCCTCTGCCCACTTAGTTGTTTTTTTTTAAGCTAGCAGAGTATTGGAGGTTTTAATAATAAGGCCTTTGTCTGCTGTGTCATTGCCAAAGATGTTTTCCCAGTCCTTGGGGTCTCTTATTACACTCTTGGTGAATTCTTTCAGTGTTTTGTCTTCATTATATCCTACTTGTCAACTTGTGCTTGTGTTTGTGTCCTTCCTATTTCTGATAGCCTATGTAATCCCTGGGCCAAAGTTCTCAGGTTGGTCTCAATTCCCTCATTGATGGCTCTAATAGTTTGGGGTTTTATCTCAAGGTCTGTGTTCCACATTGAGTTTATTCTTGTGCATGGAGTGAGATAAGGGTCTTGCTTTATTTTTCTGCAGGTAGATATCTATTTTTTCATAAACAAGTTCCAGGAAGAAGGGAGCTCCCAGGGCACCTTTCCCCGGTGCCCGTTACGTCAGCTTGTGGACACTGGGCACTGAGGGGCCTGCACTATTACTGCCCACTGTGCCCTGAGCAGTCAAGGCCCTTGTCTGTGACGGAGGGGACCTGGGTCTCCTGCCACCACCCACGAGGCGGCCACAGCTGGACTGTCAGCTACGGTAGGATGAAATCCCAGACCCACTGAGCTCGCAATGCCAAGCTGGAAGCTGCTTCCTGTGGGTGTCGCCTGGCCCTCGGCAGGGTCCCTCGAGCTGCTGACCTCTGAGCACTTTGTGCTGAGATGTCCTCCCCAGGCTCCCCAGGTCCATCCAGGTGCCAGAGAGGGATGCTGCCAGCGCCTGTCGGGTCATGGGTCTAAAACATTCAACCCCATCATCAGGGGCCACCCGATCTTTCTGACATGTTTCTGCGGGACATGCTGGGGTAGGGTGGTGAGCTCACTGGTCTATCGGGGTACTGGGGAGGGGCAGGGCTGGGGATTCAGGAGAGCAGTAAACATTTAAAACCATTTCTTCTGGACAGGTGAGGTTAGACTTAGCCAAAACTGTGCTTCAGGCTCTACCAGAGGCTTCCTGGGTTGGCGAAGAGGGGAGACTCTGGGCCCAGGACTCCTGGGCCCCCATCCAGCCCTTCTGCTCTCTCTGTGCAGGGCGCTCAGCTTCTCTGTGCCCTGGCGGCCTGGGCCGGAGAGCTGGAGCCGAGGCTGGAGGGTG